CACATAACATATGTACAATTAAAAATGGCAATACAAATATAAATTGTATTGAAAATTATAAATTTCTCCCAATTGATTTTTACCCATTTACTTATGTATCTCATATACCCCTTGTTTCAAGTAATTGATACAAAAATCAACTCATTAGTTAATCTCAATAGTTAATACCCATAACTAATTCAATTCCCTATTGGTGTATAAACCAGATTGGATATAAAATTTCTTTTTACTACATTAAGGTATTAAACTTCAAATATCAGGTATACTACAAAATTTGTTAGATTAGCTATTTAAAAATGTGAAATGTCGTTTCCTTCAAAATAGCTAGATTAATATATATACTTTCATTTTGTTCTAAATACTAAAGTCAACACATTTCAGAACGTATAATATTCCAATTTAAAATTCTACTCTTTATTTAAGTGGGTGGTAAATATCTCATTTTTTTTATTTATAGCCTTTTTAAACAATATTAAAGTATACTTTTCTTACATGAGCAAAAGCTATCCTTCAATGGAATATAATGTACATTCTCTTATCCTTTTTCATTTTTATATACATATCCTTTTCTTCATTTTCCTCAATTTCTATTTCCACATTTTCCTTCAATTCTTTCTGTCTTCATTTTCATCGCTTCATGTCAAAGTCGAAATTCACATAAGCAGTATCATAGCTGTAATTCAATATTCCATTCAACTTTCTCCTTGTCTCACTTTAAGTTTCTTTTGCTCAATTTTCATTTTCTACTCATTTGCTTGTGTCATTCTCTCTGTCATTTTTCTTTTTCACACTTTTATTCTTTTATTAATTTTCAGGAATTCTACTCCTTAATTTAAGGAACTGGATAAACGGGATGTTCTCATCTTTGGTACTGTCCACTCGGTGGCTACGGACCATCAGAGAACTATTTTGGCACGGACCACTCGGTGGCTCTGGCCGGTTTGGGTTCGTTTGGGTACTGTCCACTCGGTGGCTACGGACCCTTAAACGAACATATTTGGGTACTGTCCACTCGGTGGCTACGGACCCGTATAGAAGCGCGCGTGTATCAAATATCAAGATTTGGGTGCTGTCCACTCGGTGGCTACGGACCCGAAATCATTGATCAATTCTACGGCCGTGTTTATTATCCCTATTGGCATGCCAACATATCCAAATCCAGTAACAAGGTTTCAAATTCCATTTGTTTTATTCATTAAAATTCTTAGTATTATTATTTCTCATAAATTCGTATAATTATTATACTAGTACTTTTCGTTTCAAGCTAGTATAATTACAATTGGCTAAAAATATAACTTATTATGCAATAATGTTCTGCTCAGTTGAATGTCCGAACTTGCTTATTTCTCTATGTATTGTATTACAATTTCAATCCCTATAGATACAGTTCGTGTTGTTGAATTAAACTTTTTAATTAAAAACCACACATCAATAATCTTTACCCTCTAATTCCTATACGAAGTATGTAGCTTTTGAATTCTACCTTATCACAATAATCATGGAGTTTCACTAATTTATTTTAATCATTATGAATGTTCCGTTTAACTCGTATAGTTTCAGTTTTGTTCTTATTCAATATTTGAAGTACGAATATTATCATTATCAAAATTATTTTCTTTACTCTATATATGTTAGTTTTCAAAACTTCCTCTTTAAGCATGAAAGACTCTTTTGTGCATGTAGTACTTTTGAAAATCAACTTCGTACTTCTAATTTGATTTATTTATTTATGTATTTATTTAATCAACATTTAATTTAACTTCAAAATTAATAGACCTAGCTATATTCATTAATTGTCTTGTTAATACACATGGCCCATTTTTATTTTACATACATGTACTTAATTAAAATATGAAATAGTAATATGAGTCATGATATTAAAAAAAACGTTTCGTTAAAAGCATTTAGTAGAAGAGTCCATAAACTAAACCTAAAGCATTCAGATATTTAGTAAAATTCAGAAACAACTATAATTATAAAATTCAGAACAATAACAATATATTTTAACGTAATTTTAAAGTAGAAGAAGGAATGAACACAGACCTTAAACTTGTAGCCCGATTATTCTCCCTATTTCCTTCCTCTCCTCTCTTTTTTTCTTTCTCAAGGTTCACTCGCTCTTCTCTACCTATTTTTCTCTATTTTCTGGTTCGTGCCTTCCCAGAAAACCTAATAAGCAATAATTGTCTCTTCTCATACTAATTAAATGTACCGTATAGTAGTGTATATATACTACTTTTCTTTTTTTTTCTTTTCTAATACTAGTGGTGCGAGTATGAGATATCCAATGCTACTCAAAAGGCTCCCTATTAATTTTGTTTGATTATTAGGCAATCTATCACTACAAAAGAGCATCCCATTACCGACGGACGTTTTCCAACCGATTTAGTGGTGGCAAATTTGCAACGAACTTCGGACGGAGTTCTAACGGATGACGTCGGGATTCGGTGGGAATGGCGTAGGAATTTATTTAGCCCTGCTACGGATATATCCGTCGGAAATCTATGGGGAAGCATTTACAAATTCGTCGGGATTCCGTAGGAAAGCGGTTGGAAGTATTTGGCTTCCAGTTCGGATGCAAGGGATTGGAAAGCTGTTTCGAATCCGTCGGAAACTCGTTGGAATTCCGTAGGGAATAGATATTTTTTAAACTCACCGACAATTATTTGGAGAAATCAATTTGAATCAAACCTTATCCCTGCGGCCCTCCTCCATTTATATTGCACTTCAATTGCCAAGATAATAGGCACCTCCCATTCATCTTCCTAAACTATTTTTTTTAAATCTTGGTTTCGTCTCTATACTTTTATAATGTATATGATAGATAGAAGTTGGATGTACGATAGATACGATCCAATTTCAAAAAATGTTTCTGCAAATTTCATGAATGGTGTTGAAAGTTTTGTTCAAATTCGCTCGTCTTCAACATGAATTTAGTGGCGGAGAAGAAATTCGATGTCCATGTCGGAAGTGTGGTAATCGACGATTTCATGCTATTGAGGAAGTAAAGCTTCATCTTTTTAGACATGGATTTATTGCCGGTTATGAAACGTGGACTTCTCATGGAGAATTGTTACAAGGTTCGACATTTTTGAATTCTCAAACCCCAAATGAACATACTACCGAAAATGTTCATGGAGCACATTCAGGGAGTCAAGATGAGACACCATGGGGTCAAAGAATGTTAGAAGACATTTTCGGAGGACACGTGCCGATAAACTCCACAAACTACGATCCTAACTGTGGAGAACAAAGAGGAGATGAATCACCAAATGAAGATGACATATCATACTTGGCGGATCATTTTCAAAATGTTTTGCAAGCTGCAGATCAGCCTTTGTATGAAGGTTGTAATGAAGGCTCCCAATTGCAATTTGTTTCTGAAGTAATGAGTATCAAATCCGATTTTAATGTTCCACAAGATGAAGTCAATCGGTGGCTGGAATTATTTGGTCGATACTTACCCCGTGACAACACTGTTCCTAGAAATTATTACGAGACAAAAAAACTTGTGGCTGAATTAGGTCTTCCTGTGGTGAAGATTGACGCGTGTCCTAACGGGTGTATGTTGTTCTGGAAAAATGATAAAAAGTTGGAAGTGTGTACATTTTGTGGTGAGAAGTGTTACACATATGATGCATATCAGGATTGTCGGTCAAAAAGACAGAAACGAACTGCTATTTCAGTATTACGTTATCTACCTTTGACAACGAGGCTGCAAAGATTATATGCATCACGCCAAACTGCTGAGTCCATGATATGGCATTCTACTCATGAATCAATTGGAAATTTGATGGGTCATCCTTCTGATAGTGAGGCGTGGAAACACATTGTTAATTTATATCCCGACTTTGCCTCAGATCCACGTAACGTTCGATTGGGATTGTGTTCTGATGGATTTGCTGCACACGGGCAGTATGGTGCATCGTATTCATGTTGGCGAGTTATTCTCACGACGTACAACCTTCCTCCTTGTATGTGCATGAAATCTCCATAGATGTTCTTATCTCTCATTATTCCTGGTCCGATGTGTCCTAAACGAAAAATTGATATTTATTTACAACCGCTTATTGATGAGTTGAAACATCTTTGGGATGAGGGTTCTAGAACGTATGACGTGGCAAAAAATGAAATGTTTTCTATGTGAGCTGTTTTAATGTGGACAATTAGTGACTTTCCTGCATACGGGATGCTATCAGGCTGGAGTACTGCTGGAATTTTAGGATGTCCTATTTGTATGGAAAATAGCAAGGCTTTCCACCTTAAGTATGGTGGAAAAGCATGTTATTTTGATTGTCATAGACAATTCCTTCCACGCAATCACTCATATCGTAGAGATGTAAGTTCCTTCACAAAAGGAAGAAAGGAAACTAGTCGTCCACCTATTAGATTATCGGGGACACAAATATATGATCGCATAGCGGTGATGGATACAACAGTGGATGATCCCCGTGAATTACCTGAAGGTTATGGGACAATTCATAAGTGGACAAAAAAAAGTATATTTTGGGATCTCCCGTATTGGAAAAATTTATTAGTCAGACACAATTTGGATGTTATGCACATTGAGAAGAATGTGTTTGACAATTTATTTTATACAGTAATGAATGACAAAGAAAGGACGAAAGATAACTTGAAGGCACGAAAGGATGTTGGAATTTACTGTGATCGTCCTAACATAGGTGTGACCTCTGATTTTGTTGATAAAATCAATAAGGCTGTATACACACTTACAAGTGCACAGAGAAAAGTCATACTTGAATGGATTGCTTCTATCAGATTCCTAGATGGTTACACATCTAACTTTCGTAGATGTATTAGTGCAGACAGTTTAAGAGTAGTGCATATGAAAAGTCATGATTGCCATGTTTTTATGCAAAGACTTATCACGATAGCGTTTCGTGAAATGCTCCCAAAAACTGTGTGGCAGTTAATTGCTGAGCTAAGTCAAGTCTTCCAAACCCTGTGCACACGTGTGGTAGATGTTGAATTGCTTAAACAATTAGAGAAATATGTTATTCTTCTGCTGTGAAACATGGAGAAAATATTTCCACCGGGATTCTTTACTACATCTGTACATTTAATCGCTCACTTACCCTATGAAGCAAGAGTGTGTGGATCAGTGCAATACAGATGGATGTATATGTTTGAGAGGTAAATCAATAATATATATATTTTTTACAAAATACTATATATATTGTAGTATTTACTATTATAAATGCATTATTATAATTGCAGGTTTCTTGGGAGCCTAAAAAAGAAAATCACCAATAAAGCGCATATTGAGGCATCCATATGTAGTGCATACATTTTTGAGGAATTGTCAATGTTTGCCTCTTACTACTTTGAAACACCAATACGTTCTAAACGTATTAGACCTTCTCGAAACGATGATGTTGCTTCATCTTCTTCAAGTTCAATGAGGTTCTCAATTTTCAATCATCCTGGTCGTGGACATGGGAAGTCTACTTTAGGGTACATTGTTGGTGAAGAATTAAAAGTTGCATACACATATATCTTACTTAATTGTGCAGAAGTGAGACCATATTACGAGTAAGAATATTTTTACTTGTGAGTATTGTGTTTATCATCATATAATATGCATTATACAATGAATGTTATTTACAAATGACTACTATCGCAGAATTTTTTCGGACTTCATTGAATCACAAGGTCACAGTAATGTGGATCACATTATCGCCAGAGACTTCTCAGAATGGTTTAGTGCTTATGTATGTTTTGTACACACATTAGTTATTCATGTATCTTTTTTTAAAATGACCTATGATGTTGTGTAATTGTAGGTGATGAATCCTTATAATGGAGTTTCTGACCCCTTAATAACAGCACTTGCGTGCGGTTTAAATTCCCGGGCTCAATCACGACCTGCATACATAGTAGGTGGTTATACATTCCATACTCGATCTTATGGAATTGGGAAAAAAACATATAATAGTGGAGTATGTGTTCGTTCTTCAAATTACAATAACTCAAGTACAGATTGGATCGGGACTTTAGAAGAGGTACTCGAGGTGGAAATACTTAGTCCTCTAAAGCTACAAGTTGTGTTGTTCAATTGTACATGGGTTGATCCTGTGCGTGGTATGCGAGCACATGACAAATATAATATTGTTGATGTGAAGCTTGATTGTGTTTATCGAGTTTTTGAGCCATTTATCTTAGCACAACAAGCAACACAAGTGTTCTTTCTTGAATACCCAATGGGCCGTACCGCATCACTACGTGGTTGGAAATGTGCGTGCAAAGTTAGAGCAAGGAATGTTATTCAAGGAGAATGGAAGAGTGTTGATGATGAACCATACCAAGTTGAGGAAACTGAACCACCTCCTATTGTTGATGTTATGGAGGGCTTTATAGAGTTACAAGATCCTGGAATAGAGATAGATATTCCTTTAGTCGAAGTTCTTCAAGCTACTCCAACTGATGATATTGCTCAGAATGTTACTGAATACGCTGAAGAATATGGAGACGAAGACGAAAGAGGAGAAGAAGACAATAATCAAAGTGATCCAGATGACGTAATATGTGAAGAAGATAATAACAACTCAGATGAAGAGGTTTAGATGGACTTTGTAGTTTGTTTTTATTTTAGTAGAACAATGAATAATAAATTTGTAATTTACGGTGATTAACTCAATGTTGTTGAAATTGTGTGCACTTTTCGTTATCAAAAGTAATTAACAAATTTAGTGACATAATAAAAAATGAAATTTGACAAAATTTTATGGATAGAAGTAATTTTTTTAAATCAAAAGTATAAATAATTTACTTGGACTATAATTTGTGGGTCTGGTCTGGTCTGGTCTGGTCTGTTTTAGTGTGGTCTGGTCTGTTTTAGTCTGGTCTGGTCTGGTCTGTTTTAGTCTGGTCTGGTCTGGTCTGATCTGTTTTAGTCTGGTCTGGTCTGGTCTGGTCTGGGCTGGTCTGAAATTTTATTTTTTAATAATAATAATAATAATAATAATATGGTCTGATCTTATCTGGTCTGTTTTAGTCTAGTCTGGTCTGGTCTGTTTTGATCTAGTCTGGTCTGATCTGGGACAAATTACAATCCAACTAAAAACAATCTTACGGTCCAAGTAAAAATCTCCTAACTCCTCACAACAAAAATTATAAATGACAAAATTAAAAAAAGTGCAAGTGTAACTAATAGGTATGTTAGTGGGCTTTTCAATCGATTGGGAGAAATTAGCAAGGCCTGAAACATATACCTTAAACCCTATCTTCTGCGGAGTGAGCAAACTGGATGGCCGCATAGCAAACTGGATGGCCGCATAGCAAACTGGCCGCATAGCAAACTGTTCGAAATCTCCAGGTTCACCTATCTTCTTCCTTCTCTTCTCAATACTGAAACTTATACATTGTATACAATTGATTTTTCCTAATCGCCATGTTAACTAAAATACTTCTTTGATTTAACTCATTTGGTAATTTTATGAACTCATCGGCTCGCAATCTACCACCTGACGACTTCCATTCATCGCTGCACCACCCGCACGGCATACTACAGTGCGTCGTTGTGTGAGGGTACTCACCGTCGTGTCTCTGTCCTCTGTCACGCGAGTTACAGTCTAACCCACTCAAGCCGTGTAGCATCTCGGTCAGTGAGGTAGGTATGTTGCTACACTATATTAAATGTCTCAGATTTAACATGAAGTGCAATCTCTTTTATACATAGCAAATGTTAAATATATGAGCCTATATTTTGAACCGTATAAAACATTTCTCTGAAAAGTTATTTTAATTTGACCATGTCTTAGTTATTCTTATTGATTCCTTGCCCTTGGTTGTCAAATAACATAGTGTGATTTGTTTGCTTTGAATTTATATATGTTATAATCTAATGACAGTAAATATAAAATTTGTAAGTTGGATATGCATGCCTTTAGCATTGGTTACTGATAACCCTTGACAGGTCAATCTAGAAAAAAGTGTTTCATACTTCAAAAAATGTAGATTAGTTCAAATGTAAACATGAGACCAATTACTCAAATTCATTTGAATAGTTCAAAATGAACCAAAGATGTTGAATGGTACAAAAGAAGAGATTCTGAAGAAGATTGAGAATGTGAAGAAGTATTCATCGTTTGGTGTGGAATCAATTGTGTGTTTCCCCACATTTCTCACCTATGGTAATTACAGAATAAAATGTAGATTATCCATGTATGAATGGGCGAAGCAAAGGGGGGCGTTGAGTCCTACGCTGACATTAAGCACTATTCTTGCTTCCACAGAAACACGTTTTTTTAAGTATTATGTTAATGTACATCCAGATGGTCCTGCCATGTGGGAGAGTTTGAAAAAACGATTTCTTTCAAGCTAATAATAAGGGCATTAGGCCACTCTTTTGGTGTTTCCTTTTTCTACATCTGCTATTACATGCGTAGTCTGTTTGGTGAGCTGAACTATGCTAAAATGAGTTGATAAAGTTACTGGGATAGCACACTTGAATTGTTGAACGCGTTACTTAAATACCTCCTCCATCCCTCAACTAAAGTACCTATTATGTGCCTCATTGTAATATGCATTATTCAAATGTCAATTCACTACAGATTATATATATATATATATATATATATATATATATATATATATATATATATATATTTATAGATAATTGCGGTCAAGTGTCCATCTGGAAGACCGTTAAGTCAAACTGTCATTTTAATTGTGGGATAGATGGAGTATATATTTGTTCTGAATAATGTGAATGATAAAAGGTATTATCTGCTTTTTCTTCATGTTAATAATTTCAACTATACTTTTGTTCAAATTCAAAATAGTTTAAGACTTTACCAGGTAATTATTTGATATTACGCAATAAGTATTACTTCTGACTATTATGAACAGAATATATAATTCATTAACATATTCATTTTTTTATGTTAAATAATTGTAGGAAAAAAGTTCTCAACGAGATAAAAAAGATATTAGAAGGATCTTACAGGGGACCGTGGATTTGTTATGGAGATGTACCTAAGCCTTATCGTGAGTCATGGTTTAGGGAGTTTGCGGTAAACTGGAGCATATCAAATTTGTGTATAATTTTTTTTTGTTTGGTATTTTACTTTCAGTATAAATCTATGTTTTATGTAGCGGAACCACACATACCCCCGAGCTGAAGAATCTGAAATCCAACGTGCTTTTAACTCTAAATGTTCAGTGTGGTTGAAGGGTGTGTTTAGTGAAGCCCGAAAGAAAAAAAGGGTCCCATGGATATCTGCAGTAAATTGGAAGTTAATGCTAGAGGAGTGGGCATCTGAAAAGTTTAAAAAGAAGTCAGAAACAAACAAAGCAAATAGCTCTTCTGAATCATGTAGAAGCTCACCATATTGTGGAGGGTCTGTTTCTCAAAAAGTTAGAGCGGAACGATTAGTAAGTTTTTCCGTTTAAGGTACTATTTATATTAAATTAGGCGGTGTGGAATGATTTATTGATTATATATTTTTAAACAGGCTGTGCAATTGGGTAGGACACCGCTGGCTACTGAGCTTCTCAAAGACGGGTTTCAAAAAAAAGGAACTAATGAATGGAGTGGTCCACGAGCTCAAGAGATTGCGGTATAATTATATTTGTGCTGTTTTGAGCATTTTCAGTTTCAATACACGAGTATTTATATTTTTTGGCTTAGAATATAAGTATTGAGGAATATCATGTCATAATTACTTTTAGTGCATTATTATGTTTAGTCTGTGTATTTGATGTTTCCAGTTTACTTCCAGTTTATTTACAAGTAGTATTGCAATTACTTCCAGTTTAATTAAGGGAGAATTTGACTTTGCACCCCTTGTTTTGGATGATATTTGAGTTTGCACCCTATTTTCAAAATCATTAATGTATGCACCCCAATTCACTATAAAATCATTTGACTTTGCTCCCCACTCCTTCACAATTTTTGGGTTAATAGGGTGCATACATTAATGATTTTAAAAATGGGGTGCAAACTCAAATTCTCCCTTTTTTTAATGTAGTACTTATTGAAATTGTGATCTTAATTAGGAAAAAGTTGCAGCAGAGGTAGACCGTAAAAAACAAGACTCCGAAGAGGGAACAAAAGTCGATGAAAATGCAGTTTTTTTTAAAGTGGTATCTCCAAAAAAAGGCAAAATATTTGGGGTGGATCCCTTTACTGCAATGGCTATGTGCAATGGTTCATTAGATACCACATCGAGTAGACAGACCCAATATGTGAAGCTTGATGATTTCAATGCTTTTAAATCGTCGTAATGGATCAAATAGGACAAATGATGGTGAGGCGGGAGATGGATTCTACTCATGGGTCGAACAACCTTTCAAATCCAAATATGACACAAGGTCTTATGTCTCAGCTTCATACCTCTATGTTTCCTACGGTTCCATCCGGGATGACTCATAATTTGCACGCACAACAGGCCCCTTATTACCCAACAATGTACCCGAATGGCTACATGTCCGGACAGCAATCTGTGCCACTTCATCCCTCTATGCCTTCTCAAGTGCCATTTGAATTCATTCCTCTACAAAACCGTAATAGCACAACTCTGGATGACACATTTCTGAGCACTATATTTGCTGCAAATGAGAGAGTAAATGAAGGAGGCCAATGAAGAAGTTATTGGAATTTGAGTTTTTGGTGGTGTTGTGTAATGAACAATTTCCTTTAATTTGTCAAACTTTTGTTTTATGTTGTTTGTTTGTGTTTTAACTATCCAGAATACTACTTTTTTATGCCATGTTTTGAGATTGTGTTCTATATTGTGTAGTTTTGTTGGTGGTGATTTTCTACAATGTTACAATACTAGCTAGCACTCAATTATAAATAAAAAGAAAAAAATTAACATCTAGTGGTCTGTTAGTACATTCATCCAGAATATGTAATTTAAATCCAATTAATTATTATGTTGAAACTAGCTAATTTTTATTAACTTTCCAACCGATTAATCGGTTGGAAACTCGTCGGTCGCCGGTGAGCTTGAAATGAAAGGTTCCTACGAACTCATCCGTTGGAACTTTCCTACAGATTTATCCGTCGGAATTCCGCTGGAACGTTTCAAAATCCGTTGGAAATGGTGGTTGGAAAATTTTCCACCCATTGTATTCCCACGGCCAATTTCTGTCGGTACTTCGTTGGAAATATCATTTCCAACGTCTTTTTCGCTAAAATCCGTTGGAAAGTTCGTCGGTATTACACCCTTTTTTTGTAGTGTATGGCTTAGTGTCCTTTCTAGCATGCATGGATATACACGTGTTATTCAGCTTATGTCTATGTTATTTTGTTCTTTTATAGTACATTGTACACCTGTTTAGAAGTTAGGGTCATATTATGTAGTGTCTCTATTTATTACGTAGTAGTATAGCTACCCGTTTGTTTTCTTATGCATGCATTCTGTTGTATATTGCATGTAACTTTTGTTCTATTCTTTAGTGTTTTGCCAATTGTTCAACTATGTATACGTGAAACATGCATTTCTTATACACGTGTAAGCATGTAGATATATATCAAATTAATAGGATAGCTAATTGCTCATATGCCATTCCCGTATGTATTTAATACTCCGTAAACAATTATTATATAGTGATAAAATGACCTAGCCACTTGTCGTGTTTGCATTTGATCACTTTACTTCTTAGTAGTAGTATTGTTATTTTCAGATTCCATAGACTAACTA